GAAAGAGGTCAGGGAAAGGGAAAAAAAGGCAAGAAAGAAGCGATTGGGTGATTTCCATTTTCTGCGCGTGTCAATAGGGGGAATCTGGGAACGTGCCCCACTTGTGAGCCCAGTGAGGAGGAAAAAGATCAACAATAACCTGGCAAAATCCAACACGTGCTTCCAGCCTGCTAAGACATACAGGGAGCGGGAGACATGGGGAAAATGGGAGTGTTTCTTAATCTTCCCGGGGGACCGGCTGTCGTCACTGCCCAGCCCTTACCCCAATGGAGAGGACATTCCCACGCATGTGCAAGGGACTGTAGAGACGTGATTTTTGGCCACAGCACATCTCGTGTCTCCACATCCACCTCCATGGCCAGAGGGACAACCGAAAGGAAAGGGAGAAAGCCATCGCCAGCTGGGGACAGGCACTTACGAGAAAGTCCAGGCTTTTCCCCTCCTCGGCCATTTTCAGCCCCAGCAGCTTTTCTCTCCTGCCCTTCAGGATCTGCACATGAGCCTGGAATTTCTCCTGAGTGGAAAAAAAACACCTTGTTGGTGCGTTTTCTTCCTCTGCCTGGTCCATCCCACTACCCTCATCCCACCCACCCAGGTTTATCTCCTACGAACTCAGATTCTTTCCCGCGTAATAACGCAATAGTCTGGCTCTGGGGATTCATAAGCCCTGATTTCTGGGACTGCAGGGCAGCCAGAATGGGTGTCTTTCTCCAACAACCAGGGTGAAATTCGTGGCGTAGATTGGAAAAGACTCAGGCAAAGGACCAAACCAGCAGACAAGGAGCTTTAAATGACTGGGGAGGCTCTGCTGTCTGTTCAGGTTCAGCCTGTGCTCAGCCGCTGACCCAAAACTTAGAAGTTTGGGCTGTTTGCTCAGTTCAGCTGCCAAGGAATGCGCTTTTGGTCACAACTTCAAAGCCTGGATGGGCCATTCAGGCCAGCTGGTGCCCCAAAGGTGTGGAGACCGTACCCTCCATCACCCTTGTGTGGCGAGGCGGGGGCTAGACCACACGTCTTGCGCTGAGAGCTGATTTTTCGTCCCACTTTCAGCAAAATCGGTGTTCACGGCGGCTAACCCATGTACGCAAGGCAACCGGAGCCCAGACCATGGACGTGCTGGAAAACCCAACCCCACCTGGCACAGCAGCACCGCAAGACCGGATTCTGTTGCGCACCTCTGCGCGCAGCATCTCCTGCACCCCCCGCGCCCGAGATGGCGTCGCCCACCCTGCTCGAGCAGGGGGTTGAGTTAGATGACCTCCTGGGCTCCTTCCCAGCACGATTTACACGAGGACGCTGTCAGGGTGTGGGAACGACAGCTCCGGGAGTCGGGGTGACCAGCAGCTAAGGCGGGGGGG